TGTCCTGAGATCATACAGACACAACAATAAGCTATAGCTTATTAAATATGCATTTTACTATACATTTTAAATCTTGATTGAAAGTAAAGTCAGAAAATTTTCTGCATTCAGAAAATGTAATAACCTATAGAACATATTTGGGCTGAAAATGAATAAAGAGAACTAGAAAACAAGAGATTTCTGCCTGTACCATTTTTCTCCACCATTGCCAGGGCTCTCTGGAGGGTCATATCTCTCCAAGTCGGGGTTAATCACTTTAGGTGGTGGTAAGGAGATGGAGTCTCCCTGGTCTGAGGTCACATGATCCAACCCTCCAAGTTTCCATTCACCAGCACGGTCCACAAAGACAGCCCACATGCCCAAGTTATTATGGTTGAGATGGCAATCGTTCACCAAGAAGCTCAGTGCTTTCTGATGGGAAAGGAGTGACAGCAAACTGAGTAATTTAACTAATGATTGAACAATAATTTCATTTTAGTCCATGCCTTCACAACTTACGACAATCTGATGAAGGCCCCATGACACCTCTAAATCACTCGCACCACCCTTCTCCGCCTGGAGTTTCAGATGAGCAGCTAGAGGAGTCACTGGCTCTGTGACGATGTACAAGCTTTTCTCTGTCTGATGTCAAACAGGAAGACAGTCTGAGTTTTAATAAAAATGCCTTTTTAATTATTACAATTAGGACAAATCTTGACCGTCAAAAGTTTGTGTAAAATCTTCCACTAACAGAAAGTGACTAAAATATTTCTATTCTGGGATTCAAGTATATTAGAATGTAAGACAAGGTGTTAAATTCACAAAGCTCACCTCAACCTGAATAATCAAGAAGACAAGATGAGGCACTGCTTCAAGAGAACAACCTCCTTATCACACATCAATTCATGAGATCCTTACCTCAAGCCCATCTACGTAGGACAAGATGTTGGGATGTCTGAGAGTTTTTGTGCGTTTGAAAGCTGCTTTAGCCAGCTGTGTCTGCTCCTCTGTTCCCTGGGAAACCTCATACACGAAGACTGACACTGGCTCACCAGTTGTCTGGAATAAAGAGGGGGTACTAGTTAACTTAAGTTACAATTCATCTATAGTTGGCCAAGAAGACTAGTGCAATTAGATTTGGAAAACCCAGAATGTCGTGATTATATTGACTAGTCTTCAAATGAACGAAACAACTGATATATAGCCTTTAGTCAATAACATTACAGTAAGAACCCTCCCTGATGTTTGAGCTGCCATTATAATGCTGATCAGATAGTTACTGATGCCCGCCAGTAAACTTAGTAAATGACGATCAGATACAATTACTGATATGACATAGGTAATTCTGGTGAATGATGATGTGATACAGTTATTAATATGGCCTGTCAGGACACGTGTACAGTAAATACAAACACTGCACCTTTCTCAGCAATTTATATAATCATACATAATACAATGAGCGATGACAGACTACAAATAAAAAAATAAAAGGAAACACACAAACAAATGAATACTAACAACTGTACTTAGTCATAAGATCATTATTAAGCCGTTTAATGTGTCTGCAGTTTTCTGTTGACGTGGCCACAGGAACGATACCTTCTGTGGTGAAAGGATGACAAAAGAAACCTAGTTTATGTTATAAATGGTCCTTATATTCAAACGAATGCGCCTCCAAAGATTTTGAGTCCTGCCTATTAAAACATATACCCATACAAAGTATTTCAGGGTGTTTTTGAGCTCTCTTTACCTTTACGTTACTGCGCAATGCTAAGCGGAATGTAGCTAAACTTTAGACCGAGGCTTCAGCGGCCTGCTGCGTCACTATTTGCTTTATATTAATATATCAAATCATTTTACCTTGCGCTTGCCCCGACTAAGGGTCCATATGCCTGACTTTTCTTGGTTTTCGGGTAAAAGTTCATAGTTGAAGTCTTTGATAGGATCCCGTGCGAAAAAGGACCACATCCTTCCCCGTCAATCCAGCCTACGATGTTGCTGTAGGACGGACAGCGAACCAACAGAGGACGCAACTGCTCCGCGACCAACAAGCCACCAAGCAAAGGGATTGCAGGCCACCTGACCCTGAATCCTTTTGATCCTGTTTGTATGTTAGTTCATTAATTTATATATGTTATTATATTATAAGTGTTATTGTTGGCATGAATGTCATTTAAGTTGGTCCCCACATAGGACAGACCTGGGCTAGTTGTCACAAGGCTTATATGTCAGTATAACAACATGGTACAATACCACCTTTAGCTGTGTTTTTTTTGTTGTTGTTGTTGTTCTCTCTTATATTAGAATTTTTTTTGTTGTTGTTAATTATATCCTTTAAACTAAAGTACCTCTATCATTATTTCACTATAGCTGTTGGGTAAACAAGTGAACACAATAAAACCACGGACTTCAGTACATTTTTCATGTTCAAAAATAAAATGTGTTCTCTGAATGACTAATTTGCTGTTTAAAACTCCTCATATGAGCGTCTGCATGCTTGAGAGAGTTGTGAGGGCGCGGGCACAACCGTGTTGCCAGATCAAGCTATTACACACGTCTTTGGACTTGTCTTTTCCACTTCATTTGACACTAGAAAGTTAATAAAGTGGGAAGCTGCAGTTTAGGGTTAGCGATATCTTTATCTGATTTATAAAAGATTTGAACTAATTTCGGTTTATCTTTTATTTGTTTTTTGGTTTGTATTTGTTTTAATAACATCTGGTAATACTGCAAACACTGCACTTAAACTGACAGCAATCAAAAAAGCCCACGGATAGGTTATTGCTGACAGGATACCACATTAGGTAAGGAAAACGAACAAGCAGGTTACAGAATGAAATGAAATAAACACTAGCCATGAAGAAGTCTATGCTATTTCATTCAGTATTGTAGTTACATTTTCATGCTAAAAACATTAAGAAGAGCACTAGACAAAGTTATAATCTATATAGCAATGGTTAATGAAAACTATAACAGTAATATGTATTGTTGCATGAATAATAAACAACTGAAAATATTATCCACCCCTAACCTATAGTAAAGTCTTACCAAATTTTGATGCAATAAATAATTTAACGCTGATCACTCCAAAAGAGAGAAAACATCTTTTACAAATATCTACATGTCTGTCTCTTAAAGTGTTTAGTTTATATAATGAGTTGTATTTGTAGGGGTTGTTATAGCAGAATTCTTAACCCCAACCCAGACCGCACTAATTTTCAAACCCTGGTTACGGCCATGAAAAAAAACCACACTGGTATGCATTCAGACAAGTCTCAACTATACAACGGATAAAAAAAAAAAAAGGGGAAAATAATTATTTGATCCCCTGCTGATTTTGTAAGTTTGACCACTTACAAAAAAATTAAGGGTCTATAATTTTTATAGTGTGTTTATTTTACGGATAGAGACAGAATATCAACAAAAAAAATCCAGAAAAAACACGTTATATAAAGGCTATAAATTGACTTGCATTTCAGTAAGTAAAATAAGTATTTGATTCCCTACCAACCAGCAAGAATTCTGGCTCCCACAGATTGGTTACGTGCCCAAGTGGAACACAGATTAGTCCTGTCACTTTAAGAAATTACTCCTAATGTCATCTTGTTATGAGTATAAAAGAAACCAGTCCATAGAATGTGTATCTTCCATTCAAACCTCTCCCACCACCATGGGCAAGACCAAAGAGCTGTCAAAGGACGTCAGAAACAAGATTGTAGACCTGCACAAGACTGGAATGGGCTACAAGACCATCAGGAAAAAGCTTTTTGAGAAGGAGACAACTGTTGGTGTGAATATTCGGAAATGGAAGAAATACAAAATAACCATCAATCGCCCTCTGTCTGGTGCTCCATGCAAGATCTCGCCTTATGAGGAAAGGATGGTCATGATAAAGGTGAGGGATCAGCCCCGAACTACACAGGAGGAGCTTGTTAATGATCTTAAGGCAGTTGGGACAACAGTCGCCAAGCAAACCATTGGTAACAAACTACGTTGCAATGAGTTGAAATCATGCAGTGCCCGCAAGGTCCCCCAGCTCAAGAAGGCACATGTACAGGCCCGTCTGAACATCTAAATGATTCAGAGAAGGCTTGGGAGAAAGTGCTGTTGTCACATGAGAACAAAATTGAACTCTTTGGCATCAACTCGACTTGCTGTGTTTGGAGGGAGAGAAATGCTGACTATGACCCCAAGAACACCATCCCTACAGTCAAGCATGGAGGTGGAAACATTATGCTTTGGGGCTGTTTCTCTGCTATGGGTACAGGATGACTTCACCGCATTGAAGGACCGATGGACAGGGCCATGCACCGTAAAATTCTGGATGAGAACCTCCTTCTCTCAGCCAGAACACTGAAGATGGGTCATGGATGATGGGTCTTCCAGCATGACAATGACCCAAAATACCGCCAAGGCAACAAAGGAGTGGCTCAAAAAGAAGCACATTAAGGTCATGGAGTGGCCTAGCCAGTCCCCAGACCTTAATTCTATAGAAAATCTGTGGAGTGAGCTGAAACTTTGAGTTGCCAAGAAACCTTAAGGATTTAGAGAGAATCTTTAAAGAGGAGTGGAACAAAATCCCTCCTGAGATGTGTGCAAACCTGGTGACCAACTACAAGACACGTCTTACCTCTGTGCTTGCCAACAAGTTTCTCCACCAAGTTTTGCTTGGGGATCAAATACTTATTTGACTCACTGAAACGCAAATCAATTTAGAACCTTTGAACAGTTTTTTTTTTCTGGATTTTTTGCTTGATATTCTCTCTATCCATTAAACTAAACCTACCATAAAAATTATAGACCCTTCATTTATTTGTAAGTGGGCAAACTTACAAAATCAGTAGGGGATCAAATAATTATTTTCCCCACTGTATATCAATACCCTGATATAATATAAATACCCTGGCCAATCATCACTCCCAAGTGGATGAGTTTACCCACATTTTGTGACATCAACTTTGGAAAGAAGTGGCTCAGAAAGTCAAAAATAGCCAATTTCCAATTAATGATAAACACGAGTACTAACATCGTTTTCAGCTATGTGGATCTGTATTATGAGCTTATACACAAATGACCATACAAAAGTGAATCCAACAATTATTTACTGAAATAAAAAAAAAACAGGTGGCATAATAAAACAAACTCATCCATGCATTTATTAAAACCTGACAGCTGAAGGTTCAGTTTAAAAATAGCCAATTTCCAATTAATGATAAACACGAGTACTAACATCGTTTTCAGCTATGTGGATCTGTATTATGAGCTTATACACAAATGACCATACAAAAGTGAATCCAACAATTATTTACTGAAATAAAAAAAAAACAGGTGGCATAATAAAACAAACTCATCCATGCATTTATTAAAACCTGACAGCTGAAGGTTCAGTTTTGAGACTTCAAGCAATGTGATGCCAATTCGGTGGACCATTTGAAACAATTCATCAGGTCATAAAATTGTGCAACTATACAATAAGCCAACAATACACGGACCCTGGAGAACTGCTGGCAGAGGAAAAACCCTTTCTAGTTACATCCTAAGACTAATGAGGTACATACACAATTCTAGTAGCTGTAAACTGACAATTGAATTAATGCAGGATTTCAGAAATACCATACAGTTCAACTGCATTTAATAACAATATAAAATGAAACTTTAGGAAGCAATGAATTTGGATTCCTTAAGTACTGATATGAACTTGCATGTACAAAATCAAAGGTGACATTGGGCCATTAGCAAAACTCTTTATTTCAGAAGTATAAACAAATTTGACATCAATTTTAGACTCATTGAAATAAGTACCATCATCAAAATAAGAAAAAAACAAAATTATTAAAAATGAACTACACTTAGGGTACACTAAAGAGTATAACTTGAGCAGAGGTTAGAAAGCAAAGACGCCGCAGGGAATTGAACCCCATCCTGAGAATCAGGAGTGCCTCCACCGGAGTCTTTTGCTTTTTTTCTTATGAGGTTAAAAAAGCAAAACCTGAAGGAACAATCCTAAGATTATTCCCTCAGGAAAAGAAAAACCTCAAACCTGCTGCTCTACAATACTCGGGTCTTCTACGGCTCTTCTTCTTTACCCTGAAACTACACAAAGAATGCAGGTATCGCCCCCAATCCCCGGATAAACTCTTCAAAACATCCAAAATGCCATTGCTACTATTGAAGTAACTCATTTTCATATGCTTCTACTTGGAAGATCAAATCTCTGACCAGCGAGGTCTTGAACAAGGCTGCACTTGCATTCAGGTGTGACTTGTTCCCATTTAAAAGCTGAAACACAAAGAGAAGAGTTTAGAGCCCCCCACCCCGCCCAACCCAAAAGTGTCATAACCAATGTAATTCAAACGTCAATTACCACCAAACAATGGTCCAGGTCTCGAAATCCCGCCAACATGGCCAGAACAAAATCCTGCCTTTGTGAATCACCATTCCTGTAACTAGACAGATGCTCGCAGGGTTTTTCCGTTCCCCCCCACAGACTCCCCGAACTATTTTCATTTTTCATAATCTTTAAAAAGGCAAAAGTACACTAAAAAAAAATAAACTTATCTCCAGCCAGTGACGCTTTACACCCAATTCTTCAGAGTAAAGTTTTAGCAAGTCTACAGCTGCAATGAAAAAAAAACAGAGCAAAACGTTTACAAGCCCACATCCCTCCTCCCTCCCCATCCCAATACAATTTAAATCAATTTACAATCCATTGCAAATACTTGTTACACAATTGCTTTGATGCAAGCACATCCATCCACTCCCATGTTATGGCCCAGTCTCAATTTTAGAAGAATCACAACAGCATACCTGAAAAGAGAGAAAGTGTTGCCCCACCCCTCCCAAATTCCAAACACTAACATTGGATTTGATTGAAATTTTAGTGCAAGTGTTACGTGCATGCATATTTATGAAAAAGTGAATGTTTGTTCTACCCACACATAAGATTAAGATCAACTACATGTACTTAACTCAGCAGATAGCAGCAGAGCGATGCTCAATTAGCAGCAAAATATGACGAACGAGGTTGATCAGAGCGACTGGATGTTTCATCAGGCGGTTAGAGCTCTCCCAGACGACAAGACAATTTTGCTCCCTAAGCAGATTATGATTTTTAGAGCTCAAAAAGTTGTGGAATTTATATTGAATATACTTGTTTTTTTTTAGTTATATCAAGCTCTAAAATATTTTATTGGATCGAAAATTCTGAGAAATTCCTATTTGGGAGTAAACAAAACAAACAAAAAAAACGTTATCACGACTAAAAACTAGTTGATTGTCTGGGATTTCTAAAGCTGGAAAAGTCATGGAAATCAATAATCCTAAAAAGCCATGAGAATTTCTATATTGAGTATACATTTTTTTTTAAGGATGTCAAGCTTTAAAATATTTTATTGGGTAGAAAAATGTAGCATCTGTATATAAAAAAAAAAAAAAAAAAAAAAAAAAAAAAGGGAAAGGGAAAGACGCGCAGACACACAAAGGGACTTCAGTGAAGGGCTTCCGAGGTTTGGACAAAGCTCTCAAGCGCATGGTAGCAGGATTTGATCGCCATTCATTCAAGTGAAGACATTCACCAGGGCAACTGCTCTCAGACAGCCTCGCATTCAGATGCAGTTGAGAAGGCGGGGGACAAGACGGGTAATCTGAAACAAAGAGCTTCTACACACAAACACTTCCACCACACCGACTTCAATACTAAGGAGTTAAGAGATGTAAAAGAAACTTAAAGTGCATAAAGCACAAAAAAAAAAAAAATTGTAGCTTCTGAAGCATTGGTGATTGATGTTACTGAAGATTACAAAATGTTGCACGAGGATTCTACAATCAAGTTTAAAGATTCAGACACCTGGTAACTACAGACTCCACAGGACGACATCATGTAACTTTCACCACACAGTTGGCCGATGAGATTTCTGCAGAAGAGAAAGAAAAGTGCAAAGCCCTCCCCACCCCAAACACATCTTTTCCAGATAACTTTCGGTTATACAGCCAACGCCAAATAAAGCTGCACAGTTGCACAGCTTTTCCCAGCCACTCTAAATTTGGAGTTAAGAGCACATTTGTGCAACAGCTGAATAGACTATTGCTATACATTTGTAAAGCAACCTTTTCACCCTGCACAGTTGCACAGAGCAGTGGCTGGGTAATTAAACATTTTAAAAGTTTAGTAGTTTAAAATCTTCTGTAGCACAACGAATTGTCCTGCCTGCCGAAGTATTCAGTGGAACCGGATGAAGTGGCATTCTGCACGAGGCTTCGTAAAATTCTGCAAGACCAAAAATTGCAAAAACAAAAGACCCCCTCTGTCCACCCTTACAAAACAGCCCAATATCCAAGTAAAAACAAAGTCTACAAGAATCGGATATTAAAATGGTAGGCTTATGTATAAGAGACTACAATTTAATGCATAAAGCGTATCTTCAAGTTAAATTTGTTTATTTTGCCTTTCTTCCTTCGACCGGAGTACAGTTGTAGGACTGGACTGATCTGCCTCTCCACCTTGAACAGAGTCGACATCAAGCCCTGGCATCCAAGCTCTACAAAAAGCGCCAAGCTTTACACTCACACCTGAAAAAGCACAGAGAAATACCAAAGAAAGCCCCAGACATACCCCAAGAAACAAAATGCATACCAAAATATTTCAAATCACAACAAGCTATGCATTTATTAACTGAAAATGGGAACAGTTACAGAATGTACACTTACATACAAATTACAAAGCTAATTTGTAATAAGTGCTCGACCACACATCTTAACAATTGTAACAGACTATTAATGGAATAAGGTTAGGAACAAATGGGCTTGCTTAGTGACCTTACGTGACCAAAAGAGGCAGAAGTTGATCGATGCGAAAGCAAATCTTTACATACAATGTTAGGATGACATCTTCAGTTGAAAGCATTCAGGGACACTGCACACTGAAAAATGCAAAGGGGGAGGAAGAGAAAGCCTACACATCCCCGCTCTTCAAAATACAAAAATTTAACCAAACAATAAGCAACTAATACAATTACTGCATAGACACTTAGCCATGAAATTGTATTCAAGTACAATACAATGACAGACGAAAGCAAATGAATGCCATTTACATGAATACCCCATTACTTGCCATTAGAAAACGTTAAAAGCATCTTGGCCTCTAGTAGTTTTGCTCCTTAAGGGGGGGGGGAAATATTGGTTGGACCACCAGCTTTGTTCTTTGAGGGTTTGTTACAATCTGTAAGAGTCAAAATTAAGCAATCCCCCCCAAAATACACAAACCCCATAAACAATATCAATACATACAACCAATATCGATACACCATTCAATAATGAGACAAAAGAGTGCCATCATGATGTGTTAAATAAATGGAAGCATTTGAACCCATGCCGCGTTACCAAAGATGTAAACGCTGGTCTAGCTGCCATGGAAGGCTTGTAACAGGGCCACTCATCCACTGGCAGACACACTGGTGGTTCCTTCCCCCATACAGCGCTATTCAAGCCACTCCCACCCTTAAATAAAGCCGCTTTCACAAGCTGCAAAGTCTAGGAAAAGATTTGGGTTAACGGCCCACACCCCTCCCACCCCATTGCCCATGACAATCCCAGACATTAAATACTGGAAAATATTTATGCAAGTATATGGTTCACAATTCCAAACACGACTTAAATTCAATGAGGTACCTTCCTAAATGCAATCAAAGTAGAGGCTTTCCTTGTAGCTTTGCAAGAATCGTTACAGAGGAGTCAACAATTTGACTTTAAAAGGGTCCACACAACATCCTGGAATCCCTTTTCGTTCTATCGCCTAATGTGACCAGGGCCTGTGGGAAAGAGAACTCGAGAAACGCATTTGCCCCTCCCAAACCCCCAAAACACTGTGCAATAACATTAAGCCACTACTCAAAATAAAAGCGCTGTTGCTTTAATATATCATTAAAATTCATGCATGAACTCGTCAATTTTTACCGGCAGGCAATACGCAGCTGCCCTGGCATCATATGTCGGACTGACGCAGCGGCGGTGGCAGTAGAGGTAGTTGTGCCGTGTAGGGACGCAGGGGAACTTCAACTCCGAAAAACCCTTCGCATGTAGATTGCTTCTCAGGACAGACCTAATGGATTTAAGCGGATAAGGGGACGACTTTTCCACGGGCCTATAGCCAAAACGTAGCGGAGGCGTGGTCGATTAAGGATGGTCATCTCCACAGCACACTAACGCCATTCATCAGACTTGGCCAACAACAGGAAAGATGACGCATCGGAATTTCAAACACTGTCACTCACCACGCCTGAAAAGGAAAGAACAGAACTTCGCGAGCAAAAGTGTTCTGGAATGCAAACTACTGAAATGACTTCAATATTACACAGGATACCTCTACCCATACAAACCAAATGCCCTCTTCATGACTTTGCTATGGCGAAGACCCCTGATACTCTCTGCTTGTGAGCCCTCTTTCCTTCTCTGCTGCTGTTGTTGGGACATTCATCTTTGGCTTGCTCTGATCTAGACCAGCTGAGCTCCCTCTGGTGGCGAAAGTTGTTCTGACGCTAATCTGCCTTGTGGATCTGGCTCCCCCATCTGGACACTGCTGCTGTCGCTGATTTTCGCCCTGCTCTGTGCCCTCTGATCCTCCCCTGGTTCCCCTCTGGTCCTGCCTGGCTCGCCATCTCGTCCTGATTCTCCCTGGTCCTGGCCTTTGCTGTGGATCTTTTCTTCCATCCGTTGTCATCTAAGCGCTAGGTCGTTACTGGATAAATTAAACTCAGTCCATTTCTCCTTTACTCCGTACTTCAGTCTTCTGCTGATATTTTAGGATCATGAAAAACAAGCTAAGCTCCCATTTCACAGCTGTTACGCAACATGTGACTCAGTCCATAAAAGCGATCATGTAACTTAGGTGGGTCGTTCAAGCACGCAGAAGTGCGTCATAGTAGCTGATTATAATGTTTTAGACTTATAAATTGATGGTCGAAATACTGGTTTTACGTAAAAAAAATAAAAATCAATAAAAATCTTCAGAAACAAATAAGCCGCGACTATAATCATAGTCCATTTCTTCCCAAGTATGAACTCACTTGATGTTAAATAGTTTCTTCCTAATAAAAGCAACGAGACGGGCTTCTCCAAAGGCTTCAAAAATAAATAAAAAGACAAATTTTCTGACTGTCCCGTGTTTATCTTAGCAGTAAGCGGTTATGTTATAGTTTGCAGACAAAAGAAACATAAGCTTTTTTTTAATAAAATCTACTGTAGGCTTGTTGTAGATTTGTTCGCCCCTTTTTTTATGGTCTATGTTTCGCCCTCGCTATCATGTATCTGCTTGCCGTCGCGACCGCCATTTTGTAAAAGCGTTGCTAACATTAAGAATGAGAAAGCAAGTATCGAAAAAAAGCTTTTTAAGTCAAGTCACTTCATAAAAATCTCGTTGAAAGAAGAATATATTTAAAACTAGCTTAATAAAATAGGATAACATGGTCATAGCTGTGCTTTGTTTAAGCTATTATTCAGCTGGTTAAACATTAGCTAGTAGTAAAATCAGCATAACGTTCTATTACATAAAATTACTTATTTCATAGTTTGTCTTTCCTATTAGAAAAAGTCTAGTCGATTATTTCGTCAAAAATGCACTTTTAACGTATA